GCCTGGAAAGCGCGCCATGTGGACCGAAGAGTTTGTCGCGCATGTGCACGCAAGCAACGCGGTTGGTGGCAGCGCCACACTTGTTACGTACGTAAAGAACCCTCCCAGTTTAGCGCGTGGCTGGCCAAACGAACTGCGGGGCAGGATGGCCGGCAAATTTGTAACGGTTGCAAAGCTTTGCAAGTGGCCTGTCGCTATGCCGGCCGCGCCAATCATAGACTCGCGCGCCTCCGCGCCCGCGCCGCACAGAACCGTGTCCACGATCGATTGCCGGCGCTCCCCGCCGATGCTACGGCCAGCGGGTCCGAGCTCGAGCGTCGCCGGAGGCTGGTGGCGGAGACATGGGCCGAGATTACGGCGAGACAAGGAGAAACAACAGAAAGGACGCAAAAGAAACGCAAGACGGAGACGCCGGCCAGCGACGAGAAGTTGTACCGTGAAGTCCAAGCAAAGAAACAGCATGAGTACGCATGCCCGCATTGTGGTGGCCTGGTCGCAAGCAATGTCACGACGGGACAAATTGATCACCGGACAGTGTGCGGCAACCGGTTTAACGTCAGTGATGGAAGAGTCAAAGAACAGCAAAAGCATAAGTACACATGCCCGCATTGTGAGGGCCTGGTCGCCAGCAATGTCCTGACGGGACAAATTGATCACCGGACAGTGTGCGGCAACCGGTTTAACGTCAGTGATGGAAGAGTCAAAGAACAGCGAAAGCATGAGTACATGCCCGCATTGTGGGGGCCTGGTCGCCAGCAATGTCATGACGGGACAAATTGATCACTGGACAGTGTGCGGCAACCGGTTTTGCGTCAGGAATGGAACAGTCCAAGAAAAGAAAAAGCATCAGTACACATGCCCGCATTGTTGTGGCCTGGTCGCAAGCAATCTCACGACGGGACAAATTGATCACCGGACAGTGTGCGGCAACCGGTTTTACGTCACCGCTGGAAAGGTGAAAGACCAAAAGAAGCACGCGCAGAAGACGAGAGGCAAGAAATAGCCCAGAGGGACCGTTGCGGACCACGAGAAAAAGGGACATAGTGTGCCAAAGCCCAGCAAGTGGCAAGAGCCCATGCACAGTCTAGCAAGTGCGAGGTATTGGGGCGTCTCCAGCGTCCAGAAGCTGCCTGCTCCAACGGCCAGTATGGCAGAACCAGTGGCAAGTTTCGAGGGGTTTGAGGGATTTGAGGGGTTTGAGGGGTTTGAAGGGCAGGCCCCGATGTCTAACGTCGCTCTTGGATCCCGTAAAAAAACACATTTTGAAGCAGCCTCGAGCAAGCCCCTTCTGGCAAGTTTCGAGGCTTTTGGGGGATTTGAGGGGTTTGAGGGGTTTGAAGGGCAGGCCCCGATGTCTAACGTCGCTTTTGGATCCCGTAAAAAAAACACATTTTGATGAGGGATTTGAGGGGTTTGCGGGGTTTGACGGGCAGGCCCTGATGTCTCACGTCGCTTTCGGATCCTTTAAAAAAACATTTTGGAGCAGCCTCGAGCAAGCCCCTTCTGGCAAGT